ATAGTGTATGTTAGGAAGTAGTCATTATTGTTCAATTTGCTTGTTACTTTTATAGGTATTTTTATAGTTTCTCTGTAATTCTGTTCGTTGTGCGAGTGTGAATATGGGTATCTGTGGATGTGTTTGTAGATGTTCTGCTCATTGACAGGGCGTGGGTGTGGGTGGATGGTACAGTGTACAGCCAGGCGACAAAATCGATTTATGAGATCTGAACCTATATCATAGATAGTATTAAAGCTACTATGATCCTGTACTTAATTTCATTTTGGATTCTGATTGCTAGCGAGTAGTCATCTTGCAGCAGTTACCACAAAGTAAGTCAGATAGTTGAATATCACTAATATAATACTAGAAGTAAAGTTTATGTTTCAATTTGAAGATCTAATTGTATTTATCAGATATGATGCAGTTATTGAGCGTTGTATGTTTACTAAATACTACAAACCTTTCAGGCCTTCTAAGATTCTTTTTGCTCCAATAGAATTAAAAGTCTTTTCGTAATATACTAAGAAATAATGACTAGTGAATAATGCCATTCTTTCACCATTTTTTGCCGGAGCTTCTCTTTGAATTTTAATTTACTATCTGATAGCACATGTCATCATCTCTCTTGGATAGATGCCTATTTAAACTCTTATTGAGATATGACGTCGTAAATATAACCTGTTATGTAGATCGGTTCCAAGGCATTTGTATAATAAATACTTATCTTTTAGATTGATTAGGTTGGGTATGAGTGTGAATATCAATTTTCTCTTAATTGACACTGATACTTACATCCTACATATCCGTCTGCTCACTCCACACCCACAACCGCACCCTCCAGGAGTTATGTCTCTTAATGTGCTTGAATGAAAGTAACGGAAACTCAATCGTACGTTAAAAGAAATTTATTGTCGGAAAAGGAAACTGGCCACTATACAGAATTGTTAAAGAAAAACTGTTGACTTAAGCCTGTTCGTAAAAAACAATCACTTCTTAGAATAAGAAAGTATCGCAGTTCTAATTAGTAGTTTACAAGTAATTGTTCTTAACTGTATATCTTTCTTATTCTGGATAACTTTTTCAGTTTTTATAAAGAACAAATAGATAGTCTTTTTAGCTGGATTATTCAAGATTTGATTCTTATTTGAGAAAATAGACGATAAATACATATATATATATATCTTATTGTATTATGTTAATTTTTCTTTGTATTGATTCTCGTATCACATGTATTTGATATCGAATTAATCGATAGATCATTTCGATCAATTCCATAATTGACAAAAAACTAATGCCAATCCATAGTCCTGTTTGACCTCCAATATTCGAAATAACATCAACGAAACCAAGTGTTGATGTTTGTGTATGCGTTTCGACGATACTTGTTTCACGTAGAATATTTATAGTAAGATAATTTTCATAAATATGTTGACGCCATGTTGTTGACCAATTATTCGGTAATGGTACTAAAGAATTTTCGACAAAATTTTTAATCGTATCTAGTTTTGAATCGATATATAACATTGACGATGATGTTTGAAGAACAAAACTATTTGTTGAACATTCTTGTGAACAATCTGAGCAATAAATTTCCACAAGTGATGCAGAAGCAAAAAGTCTCTTGGATGCTTTATCAAAACAGCCATCCGATGGATAACAAGCAGGTGCAAATATTATATGATCTGTGCCTGGCAGAACAATCCAACGTATATACCATAGATATGGATTAACACAACCGCATTGTTCGTAACTTAAAATAACTGGAACGATTGATTTCATATGTATATTTATTCTCTATAGATGTACTTACACATAAGTTTGTTGACAAATTTGATAGCAATTACTTTGAGAATAAACATAATCTGCTGGATAATAATTACTGAGCATAGCTTTCATTGGATTAGAAATTTTGTTTGTACAATCAGTATAAGGTGAAGATAAAAGATTAATTTTCTTTTTTCTGTAACTTAGTTTATATCTTCGTCCAGGTCCTAATTCGATACCACTCGTTTCAATCATTGGTACTTGTCTATTATCATGAATAAGAACTAATATACCAGCAGCTTTACAAATATAGTAAAATAATATGATTCAATAAATTTTATTTTTAGTTACTTACCATCAGTCGAGTAGGGTACATATTGATAACTATGAACATAAAGACTTAAACTGAGTATACCAGCACCACCATAAAAATTTCCAAATCGAAGACTATCATCTGTACTATTTTTTAATTTAGCATTAAATGTATAACATAGACCATAACTTGGTGATACAAATGAAATGAAATCAGCTGATGTACATGTTTCAAAATTATATGCACATCCTTGAAGCATTGATGATAATGGAAAAGAGTAATCTTCCAATGATTGATTTTTATTAATTTGATCAACAAGAAAAAGCCAAATAAATTGCGATTGATATTCAGATATTGTTGTTGTATCGTTTGTATTTTTTATGTTTAATGAATTTGTAAAATTCAAAAAAGGTTGAATGAATCGATCGAAACGAAGTGCTGCAATGTTACAAAAACTAACTGCTGCAAAATATTGTTGCCAATCATTATTATAAGATAAATCAATTGATGTTGGATAATCAAAATAATTTATTATTGATTTAACTATAAAATAGATCATTATACCAGTAAATATTAGAAATGAAATCGACCAAAATACACAATTATGAAAACTTTCACTACGAGCAATTCCTGGTAGAGCATGTGTCGATGTATTCAAACAAAATTCACGAATAATAGAACGACGACGACGATGACGACGAACAGTTTGTTCTGATTCATGATTCATCGTTATGATATTAAGTGAAGTCCTTCTTGAAGTGTCATTTATTATATTCGACATGAAATTTTGGTTTTCTAAATTAAATATTACATCAAATATTCTTTATCTTCGTTTATCTCGTCCGATTCTTGTTTATTTTATTTACTTATTTTTGCAAATACTATTTACTTACTGAACCAATATGTAGTAAAAAAATTTTCTTTGATAGAATCACATTTAAAACTGATTATGTTTAATATTATCTATTCAAAAATTTTTATAATAGAATTCAAAAATATTTTCAATCATTGCATGACAATCTCTAATAGAGCTGATTTCCTCAAAGTAAATATTCATGATATTTTACAGATTCTATTTTATGTTTATAAACAAAAAATAAAGTTTAGTGTAAGACTCTTTTTATATTACTCTGTCAAAATGACTAAATATCGTTTTAAGTTCAGATCATATTGCAAATTTCAATTAAAATGAGTTCAAGTCTTGGAAATAGACCTCAATTAATATATGATAGATTTTGAATGTGAAAATAGAACATTTCAAAAGTAAAGCAGTATAGAATAAGTATCAAATAAATCTCCTTTATGAATTTGTTTTACCTATTACAGTAGAAAATATTTGAAAAAAAAAGCTCTCGTTAATTAAGATTGTTCTCCCAATAGATTCAACGTGTTGATATCATTTCAATAAATGTTAAATCAGAAAAAATATGTGATGAATTTTTTCTTAGTAAAAAAAAAATATAAGAATAATAGAGAAAGCTGTTTATTGAATTGATATATCCATAAATGTCTATAAAGATCGACTTTTTTTACCTGATTTGTTCCCAAAAACCTACAAACAAAAAATGTTTCTAAAGATCAAAGATTCTAGTAGCAGATGAGTTTTTTATTGAATGAAATATAGAAGGTAGAATAAAGAATACAAAAATTAATGATAAATATACATGAAAAATGTCATTATTGACATAATTTGACATTTCCTTTTTTCCATTATATCGTTTTTTTTTTTGACATCATTCTTTGCTATTTGTAAAGTAGAATTACAATTAGAAAATGAGATGTTGAAAGAAAAAAAAATGTTTCTCTTTTTTTTCATGGATGCATGATTCTAGATTGTCATTGGTTAAAGACATATTGATAAAACATTCTTTTCTTAAAGCATATTCACAAACAAAAATTATTATTTTCTTTTTATGAAAATTTCTAAAAGAGTAGTTTCTTTCAATAATCTATATGTTAACAAAGAAGTAGAAAAAATAGGACTGATAAGAAACAAGAAGAAAATGAAAGAGTAATAAGAATTAATTTTAAATATAAAAAGTCAAAAGTATGATCATACTGAAATGATTATTATTACTTGATTGTCATCTTTTTCTCAATCATACTTATTTCATCTATGATTCAACGCTCTTTTTTTTTTGTTTTTGCGTTGCTAGTTTAATAGTTACACAATATCGTTTCTCTCTTCATCATAGTACTGTCCATCACACTCTTTTCCTTCAGATGCATTCAAAATATTCTTGACAAAAAGAACAGATTTTTTTAAAAATCTTTTTCTCCTTCTATTTATTTATTTCTTCAACATAAGACGACTGGTTAATTCATCAGTATTTTATTTACAATAAAATGTCTCTATTATGTCAACACATTGTTATAATGAACACTCAAAGTTTTTATCGAGGAATATTTTATTGAAATCATCCTCTTCTTAATGAACATCTCTTCATTGAAAATTCTAAACTCTTTTTATTATTACAAGTAACGCTCGTCGAGGCAGACTCGCTTTACCCTCGACTGAACTACTAACATTGGTTGTTTTCTGTTGCTGAAATCATTCATAATAATTTGGATTCTATTATTATATATTCGTCATAGTGCTTTTTTAGCTTACCATTCTATAAGTCATTTCGTAGAAAATTCAAAAAATATTCTAATTCGAACTACAGTTGAGAAGGTTTGTTCAAGAACTTCCATAATTAACTGCATAACAGAAATTTATTTTATATTCAATTGAAACAAAGAAGAATGAACACAAAAAATTAATATCTATGAAATATGCACAACATCATCGGAAAAGTAAAAACATCTCTATTTTAAAGAATATTCAAACGTAGAAATCCCATGATTTAATGAAAGATAACGGAACTTATGAAAAATTTGCATTTTTCATAGTAAAACTACATGCAAATAATAAGAATTGTGTTATTATATATATGATTTATTGAAACCATTCCGGGAAACGTAATCGTGTGTTGATATACAGTTGATCAAGTTGTTCCATCTCAGCAACTTGAGATTTATTTGGTTTCATAAGTAAAACTTTGTAATCGAATGGTCGTAGAATAGCTAAATCAACTAAACGTTTCACACGAGATAATGGTACATATACTGCTGCAATATCATCAGTTTCATTTGGTAATTTTAAATCAATAATCACTTTATTCAAAGTTTGACCTTGGCTTTTATGTGTTGTAATACAATAAGCAGGTACAAGTGGTAGTGCAGATCGTTTAATTGATAAAATTGTCTTTTGATTTGATTTTGGTTTTTTGTCTTTTGGAAGAATATCGGCAATGTCGACACGAAATGTTTGTTCTACTAACGGGATTGGAATAAGTTTTGGTTCAAGATCTTGAAGTTTGCATTCGATCTTGGACTTATTAATCTCGATCAAAGCATATATTGGTCGACGAATAAATTGTGTATTGTTCGGAAACATTTCCGACAAAGCTTCTGTTGACACCGATTCTTCGTGATATACTAATTGTCGAAAGGTTCCTTTAATACCATTGATAAGACCCAGTTCAGTAGCAATATTTTGTGTTAAAATGACAGGCATGCCTGGAACAAAAGGTAGTAAACCAGGTAAATGCTCTGTTTTGCTATCAGATAATTCTAATAAATTTTTAATCAATATTGGATCTTCGATTGGTTTGCCTTTGCAAGTATCTTGCGCGACACATACCATCAGTGGGTGATCTATTTGAGTTGCATTATGAATTGATGCCTTGTTGTTTAATTTTGTTCGAATTTCATTTCGAAACACGAGAATAGGAGCCTAAAAAGATGAAAATAGTTTTTCCTTTACTCGAAAAAGTTGATTTACTTTGTTCCATGGTGAATCATGTAGAGATTCTATGGATGGTTGGCCAACAATTCGTGTTTGTAATAATTCATAATCGTCATAATTGCATTGTCCATGACGAAGCCGATCGAGTAGTTGAAGACATCGTAAATCTTCTGTTCGCATCTGTTGTGTAAGTTTCACCACACAATTCATTTGAAGAATTAAAGAACGTGCAACACGTTGTTGAATTTCTTTTTCAGATAGTAGTTTTCCTTGTCTCTTTTTTGATGGTAATGAAAAATCAGTATGCAATGGTGAATCATAGACTGGTCGATATTGTAAGTAGTCACCAAAGAAGATTACGTTCACACCACCAAATGGAACTTGAGGATCGACATGTTTTGCAGAACAAATAATTCTATTGAGTTTTCCTAATAAAGTTAAGCCAACCATACTCATCTCATCAATTAAGAGATATTCAACAGATCGCCATTCTTTTTCAAGTTTGGAATCACCTGGTTTAATGGTACGTGGCTTTCTTGAATTACGTTGTTCACCTAAGAATGAATGAATTGTCATGCCATCAATTTCAGCTGCTGCAATTCCGGTAGGTGCAAGTTTTCGCATCATTTGCATTCTTTTTGTGATGAGAAAATATTTTGTAAGAGCACGAATCAATTGTGATTTGCCCGTTCCACCACATCCAGGTATACACATAATGAGCTGACCATTATTGTCACCTAAAATAGATTATTTGATCAAATAAGTAATGATTTATTTTACGAAAATACCTGTACGACATCGATTGTCACCATCGAGATGACTTGTTATTATCAAGAATGCAGCTCTTTGTTCCTTGTTCAATGTGAATTCATCAATGATGCTGTTTTGAGTTGAGAAATTGTTTTTAACTACAAGTACTGGTGGAATTGATGTTTTTTTTTCGACATTATTTCGATTATCATATGGATTGACTACCGTTACAACGGCGTCAGTTACATCATTAAAATCCAATATATCATCATCATTGTTATGTTTTCCCGAAATCAAACTGCGCCTGATTCGTTCCTTTTCATTCTTCAATTGATCTTGCCATTTTGAATTAAGTTTAATGAGATTAGGTGTTGCGGAAACAAACGGTACAATTTGTTGATCAATGCCTGTATTTGAAACATGTTGATCATGACCTGAAACAATTTATATATTTTTTCCTGAATGATATAGATCATAAAACAATTAACACTTACGATTCATATGATTAAACCGTCCAACTTTTTCCACAGCTTCAATCGTTTCTCGAATATATACGTTTTCTGTTGATTTTTTCGTGGCATTGATTGTAGCAGCTGTAAATTCATCTACACTGCCTATTAATTGAATCAAATCGTCGATGTCATCTGCTTCGTGTTCACCATCAGCACCTTGATTTGATGGTAAAAATGCAGGATCAATCGAATCATTATCGACCTGTGCTTCAGCAATAACTTGAAGTAAATGTTCATCACGATCTTTTTTACATTCATGTAAAAGTTGAATATTTTCTATAATCTTCCATGAATGAGCCGAAATACGATGTTTTCGAGATTCTAATGCATCTTCCCATGTTTGATTGATGTCACAAAGATCAATTACATTGCGCCATGGTACGAAAAGTGTGAGAAGTGCACGATTGTATCGTTCTCGAGTATCATCGCGATCTTGTCGAGGAATTTGAGGACCATAAAGAACAGGTACATGAGCCTCACTGTATTTCATGAGTAGATGTGTTGTTGCTTGAGGATGATCTTTGTGAAAAAAAAATCGTTCATTAGATGGTCGACCTTTTTGATTATCTTGTCGTTTTTCAGTCGTATAGGATTTTGATAAATATTTTATATCTGTTTCATTAATTTTTTTCTTATAAAATGTACTGACAAAGTCATATAAACAAGTGTTGTTGAGGTTGTTTGAACGATATTGATAATCAACGCGTGTATTAACAAGTATAAAATTGTTTTTATCTCCCGCCGGTTGAACTTGGAAATGTTCTTCATCGTTGTTTTCCTCAATAATTGTCTCATCATCAAATATATCTTCATCATCAATTACATCTATATGTGAAAAAAAACACATACATTTTTTTAATCATTATTAATAAATTGCTTCATCATTTCACATATTAACAAGTAACGCTCGTCTGTAGACTCGCTTAGGTCTTTCTCGTAGAAGTGCTGTTTCTAAACTGTTAACAAATTGCTAATTTATGAAGTTCCACGATTCAAAACCAGCACATTCACACCGCATTATTCTGCGCAACTGCGTCTATCTACACGTTTGAGTTTAGCATTCTGAGCAGAAAGTTGGGTTGATTTTTTTCCAACACTATGATGAGATTAGTAAATTTGATTATCCGCTACTCTTGCCATCTAAATCTCATCATCGATGATAGATTTTGGCTTTTACCTCGAATATCTGTGGCCAACTTTTTTTTATAACAAAATAACCTTCCTAGATCGAGTTACGGGCCAAAAAAATCTGATTGGTTGAATTGTCTTCCCCCCCCCCCCCCC